TGAAAACCTGACAGCAGTGTCAGTGATCATGATAAAAGTGAAGTACGTTACAAGTTGAATCCCTGAGGTACATGTACTTACGAATCGATTTATACATCCTGTGATTACATAAATTAAAATTGCTGCAAATTCAACCTGTACCTGCTGACATTATTTAAGATAGAAATGAAAGGTCAACTACGCAATATGTTAAAAACCTTATACACATGCACCTACGGAGCGATTTATGAATCCTCTTACTTCGCAAAGTATACTGTACTGTACGTTCACTTTGTACCACAGAAGCGTTAATTACAGCTAGGTGGGCGATGAAGTTTGTATATAAAGTAGGATCCACAATTTTTTACAAAAATATCTGTTGAGGTTTTGCAATCATTTTATCTGTTACTAAAGCAGACCTTCCTGCAAACGTTGCCTTCTTCCTCTATAGGATACCACATCCCTTTTCTTGCGCACGAGTTGTTGGCATTTTGTTCCTGCAGCTCTCAGGAAACGATACCATCGCTCAGGGAGTTGATCGTCACACAACAGTGAACTGTGAGATGTTACGTGAAGTCTATTTCGATTGGCTTCAGTCAGGTTTTTATGATGATAACAAAAGATCGGCTACAAAGTGAGATGAAAATTGGGAGAGGACTGAGGTTATTAAAATCAACGGTTCAAGATTTTTTAACGTCTTAAAATTCTGGCAGCTTGCCAATCAGGGGTGAGACTTACACTTAACAAGAAAAATGATTATGCATTAATAAAGGGGTCTAAGAGGCTAAAACAGTGATATTGGAGATCCAAATGAATTCAGCAAGATCCGAATTTGAGCTCCTTCTTTCTCAGACAGCACATTAAAGAACAGCTCTAGGCAGACTTAAGGCACAACCAATATCGTTTACATATGACAAACTAATAATATAGCCGATAGTGGCCTCCTTAGCAGCCTCAGGTCAGATTCGAGCAGGAGTTTTCTAAATATTTAAGCAAAGAGATTAAATCTACCTCTGCAGTTTTGACCTTTTTCATTAAATCCAGGGTGGCGTTCACAAACATAGGATCCGTTGGTGTTCGTGCAGGTAGCATTCACGTGACAGGAGTGATTACTTTACATTCGTCAATATCTGAGAAACTATATATATATATATTTGCACTTCACTATGTTTGTCACTTTAAAATGGGCGGACTCTAAGTCGTGTAGTTACTTTAATAATTATTAATTATAGAAAAAAAATCATTTTTTGGGTTGTCACGAACTAGATATTTTGAAACGTATATTTTACCACGAATATTTCAGTTTATCAAGGTGACAGCTCTGAAACAACTGGCTTGTTCCTGCAGCTCCCACAAAACGATACCATCACTAGGGAAGTAAGTCAACACAAAACACCTGAACGGGATTTGAACCTACAGTTCCTACAGAACCTACAGTTCAAATAGACGACTTTCATATATTCACAGTCGTTTAGTATTGGAGCACTTTGCATTTTCGTCACAAACGTTATTGCTGTCTTTGTATTTGTCGATGCCTAATTGGAAATTAATCGAAGAAATCACTGAGACAAGGCGAAAACATTTCACAAAAGTCAAGGGGAAATGAAGACCAGACACTGTGTAAAGTAATTCTGTTCTTGGTTTACTGACCTACCTCCCTAAATCGTCACGTTGCAATAAACCAACTTTGAACTCTCGACGTTATCTGGATCCAACCAGTACTTTTACTGATGCTGTCTTTACCTTCACCTAATTTTATCTCTTGGCACGATAACGCCGGTAATTCAGGAATAGATGCTAAGGGGGCTACGATGTAGACATGACTTCAGTAACAGTTTAAGGGTAATAGAAGTTGCAAAACATGTTAGAGTTTAAAGTACATTTGTTCGAGCAAGATGAACATGGAATAATGATAATAATAATATTAACAAAGAGCTGTGAAGTTTAGCTGATATTGATGTAGTATAGACGGCGAATTTTGTTTTAAGACACTGGACCTATTTAATAACAAAGCAATCAGACACTTGCTCTCGGATAGTGGAGGGTTTTTTACTAAAATACTCGCTGAGAAAGATTTGTATGTAAAATAAACTAGACCACATACATACTTCTACCACAAACGCTTCCCATGTAAAAGCGTAAATCATCTGGCTGGAAATTCTCGGGCCTTGCTTCCTTGGTTCGGGTGTTCAATTCACAGGACTTTTCCCCAATTACATCACTGTAGCTTTGACATATAGTCTCCCTCTTGCAGGTGATATCGCATACACGAGGATCTGCTACTAGGACCTTTTAAAGAAGTATCATTTGAGAGCCATACCAAGTACGCTAACTTTTGTCTTGCATGGATCTTTACCAATAGCGAAAGGAAGCTTGAATTCCACTCCATTCCACTAATGGTGAAATTAGAAAGTGTACTTTACTTAGCCAAACAAGCAGAAAAAAAGTTATGACAGCAGATAGACAGACAGACAAACAAACATGAAGCTACGTAGGAATCAACTCTGAATCAAATTTGTCTAAGCAATAAGAAAAGTACAACTTATTAGATTTAATTCAATTAATTAAAGGCCTTTTTTTATTTCTCTTATTTTAAATTTGCAATGCAGCATAATAAACGTAAGTCAAGTATTGCTGCTCGACACAGAAAAACTTTTATTACGTTCTAACTCGCTACGCTCAAACAAACACAAGTTATTTTCCCCTTTAATACTAGAAAGACATAACCACAACAGCTTGATGGCTGGTTGCTCAGGCATATCCAACGAACGCGAGACTTCACAAAATGAAACAGTAGGGGATCTTACCACGAAAAAGCTGAGAATTACTACTGGACTTTAATTGAGCGCATTACCGCCGATGCCTTTGACTTCTTTTCTTTTCCTCTCTTTGCATTGCGAAGCTTTTTTTCATCCTCTGAATCAGACGCGAGATCATGGGACTCTTACTCTCAAACTGCAAGCCAACCCTCCTTATTTCTATCGGCGATCTTGATCAGCTTCTGACTCTCCTTGATTAGCTGCTTTCCTTCGGCGACTAACTTGAGAACCTCGGATGAGTTCTCGACGCTGCCTTCAATTTGGGTCAAAATGCTATTCGAGTGCGAATTCAACTCGAACTGCTTTCCATTTCCCTTAAACTTAATCGCAGAAGCTTTTTTTTCCGATTTTGGCGGTTTCTTCCAACTGTTTGTCTTTTTCCTCTAATTGGGAAGTGATGCACCCCTTGAAAAGAGAGAGCACTTGGTTAATTAACTGAGAATTCGGGGTTTCAGGCTGCGAGGAGGATGAATTTAGACCGAATAAATAGGCTTCAGTGGCAGAAGACGTGGGATTTAGACCAGAAAAAAGGGCTTTGGAGACAAACGACGTGTAACCATCTTGTGGCGTAGTCATATCAATGTAGTATTACACCAGGAATGAATGAAGGATAGTCAGTGGAAAGCGAGAGCGAAAGGAAGTGATAATACTCTGTAACGCCTTAAATACTAAAATCTACCCAATCATAAAATCCTTAGAGATACGCCTACCGGCGTGTCACAAAAACCAACGAATAACAAGCTATAAAGTTGTTAAAAAACTGCATACCAGCGGAGAATAGATATGCTGAAATCATGGATAGTGAATGAGAAAAGTTAAATTATTCTTTCTTTTCATCGACTTTCTACAACTTTCTACGACTTCCTGTGGAAAACAAGGTTCTGGAACATTTGATTCTTTAATGTTGCGCAAGAGAGAATTCTTCAATGTGTCTGTTTTTAATTTAGTTTAATCATTACTCGAAAATGTCATATTCGACATTCATATCCTAATGGTGTGCAGGGAGTTTGTCACCGCGCACTGATAGTTTGATGACCTAGCCTAAATTCATCTTTTAAAAAGCTTCGATGTTTCCATAAGCACTCCATTTTGTATACCGTATGTACACGGACGATTCCCAAACATCAGCTTAGATCGTCATCCATAGAATATGTAGAATCCATGCGGTAAACTCCACCGGCCAGAAAGATAAATCGGTCAGTTCGTCTCTAGCGTAAATTGCAAACACAACTTAGCATATAATATTAACTAAAAATAACATTTGAAATCTAACTCAGTGAACATTTTTCTGATTTCATTCCATCTGTCAGGAATCTTCCGATTGCTTCCAACACAAGAGATTTTCCCGATAATATTCACGTTAAATCGACCAACAGACTCGAATCACTTCACTATATTTTTAATGTCCCAGCACAGAGGAAAATTACAATCGCTAGATCACATGTCAACTCGCTCATGGTTTTGAAACCCTAAACTGATTACAGCTTATCACTAGGTAACTAGAACAAAAGGAACAAAGTTCAATTTCACAGCGTGACAGTCACGCATTCCATTTCCTAACACCATCTTTGAATATTTTTGTTGTAAATAAGGGCAATGGCATGAGATTAGCTTCTATTTTTCCCTGCTGAGGAGGAATGCGTGACATTCCTAGTTCAAGTAAAATGTCATGTCACGCATTGGAATTATTCATCTTAAACTCTTAACAGAATATTTTGCAAAGTACACTAGGAATTTTTTCCTTTCGTTCTTTCCCAAGTTGTTATTATTCTCAAGTGTATGTATGTAATCACGCTGGTGAGCCAAAAAGCTAAAAAAGTTGTGACTCTCAATTTAGCAAACAGATAATGGAACAGTTAAAAAAAAACACTTACAACAACAACAATAATGACGACAACAAAGCAAAAACAAGACTAGTAATGGAAATTTCATGAAGACGAAAGTAACAGCTCTTTCTTGGCCCCTTGGGTTGCCAATGCCGGGCAGCTTTATAAAAATATACTCACAGAGAATTCATGATCAAAGAAAAATCTATTAGCTTTATTAAGAGAGAAATGAAACGATAACAATGTTTTCATAAAATGGATAAGGAGAAAAATAATTATAGAAGATTTTACACTTCTAAATAAAACAATTGGAATTTCTGTTGTCGAGTTAAACACTAGTAAAAAATTTTTTTGGCAGCTAAGTATTATTTTGTTTATTATATAAACAACATAGGCTTTTACTGACAATGAAAATCGACTTTATTCATGAACAGTTAAAAAAATATGAATAAAATCGTGAAAAAAATGTCTTTAAGTGTGCAGATAATGAGACTGTTAAACAAAGAAGAAAGCTTGTTTTGGTTTCTTCCGTTTTTAAAAAGGTTTGAACTTCACTGTCATGAAAGGTGAGTGAGTGTCAGCAGCAGATTGGCGATATCAAATAAACTCACACAAAAATGTAATTTTACACGTACGCAATCACGATTTTCCTCAAGGCTGGAAATCTTTGTAAAACACCGCAGTTTATATAATAAAACAATGCAGCAGATCTTCACTAGCGTTAAAATGTACCGGTTTCTTTACATTTAGTCTGTACTACAGTAGCGCCCTGGACATTTCGGTGGTGTAACAAAACGGTAAATGTAATAAGACCCACAGTTGATAACGGAGATGTCCAATATGAATCTGCAACAGCCATAGGGCAGCTGGGAAAAGCAGACCCTTCTGGAAATTTCACCGTCTTCCACCGAAGGATGGTCGTCATTCAACCAGCCTGAAAGAACTGTATTACATCTATGCCGACGAATGCATTTGTCTGGCATTCTTGTTCCTGCTGCTCCCACGAAACGATACCATCCCCAGAATCCACTGTCACATGACATTTCATTGAAGACTGTGACGTAAGAGCTCCTTCTGTCGGCATTACTCAGGACTTTGTAATTAACACATGGGTCGACTACAAGATTAAATGATAATTGCAAAAAGATTATTTTATAACTCTCATAATTATACCTTAGTTTTTTTAGTTCTTTGGAGAAAGCAGTGATTGCTAAGGCTCTATGAGTTCCTTGGAAAATATCACGCCCGTATTATGTAAAACAAACTGTAAAACTATTTCACAATTTTTAGTTCAATACATTTCGTTTTCGGATGATATTTGAGCAAACTAATGATAACTATTCTTAACATATTCAGGAGTGCAAGAAAAGTGTTGCGGACTACAAGTAGTGGTGCGGAAGGTATTTAGATAATAGTTTGGTATTCTAACGGCATCAAAATAATTGCAATCGTAGGTCAGTATTGTTAAGAAAACGTACTCAGTAAAGAAAAACCAAGTGTGATTTGCAACGAGCATAGAATATAGTAACTCGAGTTGCCCGTTAAGATTCTAGTAATTACGGCTGAATGCTCTGTCAATGGAGTAGCAGGGAATCCGTTGGCGGGCAATGTCATTCTACATATAAGTTAAAATGATTGAAGTTTCCTTTCATGACCGTCTCCCAGGTATCTTTCCTTACCTGTACAGTTTCGGGAAGTATTAGTTCTGGCTAAGCTCGCATTCATGTCCCTGCATGGCTGAAAGGGTCTAACATAGTCACCCTTACAGGTACGATTGTAAGAGCCATTAGTGTTAATGCAGTCCACTTCCTTGTTTGGATCTTGACCATCGTTCCTGACTTCTTCTGTACCATGAAAGAGAAAACAGAAATATTG